TTAATTGCTGAGTCTTGACGAGATTAATAACTTCCAAGCTTCTGTCCCATGCTATGTGAGAAACAATCCGATTTTTGTAGCTACTGAACGTCACAGTGTGCTCAAGTTTTGTACAGAGGTCCCTAAGGAAGTACTAACCAGAGTTAGAAAGTCCAGATGCTGCATTGTGCTGTCAACTGGTAGGCTTGTTCAGATTGTGAGGAAGGATGGCTTTAGCAGCAGCGATGCTGTGTGTAAATTCGTATGTGCTGTTCCTCAGAAATTGCTGACAAAGTGTAGTGTTTCTCAGTTTCCAGCCTGGAACTTTTCAGTGGCTGACTTGTCTGATATTCAAGGCTTCTAAGGGAAAGAATAACTTTTTTAGTGAGATAGCTTAATATATTGCGGAGGAGAAGTAATAGGTTATACATATTGGTTTCCAGTAATGTGTATCTATGTATATGTCTGTGTCTTTTTTCCTTCTATTTTTTTTTCCCCTCTACTTTTTTTGTGTATAAAAGATGCAGTCCTTTTGAGTGTGGGGAGCTCCTTTTGAGCATGGAGAATTGCAAGATCAAATTCTCAAATTTGATTTCTTGCTCTACAAAGACATTTGCAGTAAGTCATCTAGTTTTGCTCAGTATGGTAGCTTGGCTAAAGCCCCGATCTATAATTTATGATTGTGGCATATGTCCTCACAGTCTTTTGCAGATAGATGTGAGCCAGTGTGCCAGCCTGACTAGAAACCACGTGTCTGCAATTAGGTTGAGGCCAAGATGAAGCTGTTAAATTGTACCCTTGTCATGGCTTTCCAGTGTAGACCTGTTGCCCTGTCGACTGGCTACATGATTTTTAGATATCTTCAAGTGTAGGTGGAAAAAGCTGATGTCGTCCTGCAGAAGATTGGGAGCCTCTTTTGATAAGACAGTAAGAGACTGGTATGGCTTGTCTTACTGCACTGTAGCTTATATGTGACAGACATTTATGACGGTGCTGAACTATTGCTTCAAACTAGGATTTGCTGCCTGGGGCTAATAATTAGTGATCACACAGGGTAGGCCTGTCAACTGCTGCTCTCTGGGTGTGGGAGGCTTGCATCAAGTCTGCAAGTTCACCACCATGTAAGGATACTGGCTTAAATCTCTTGGTAAGGTACGGGGATCACTGATGCACATAAAGCTCACTGAGCTCCCTGTTTGGATCATATTAACCAACTTTCATGCACAGCTGCATTTGCTTCATACACAATTAAACACTTGATTATACATGTGTTAAAAACCCCATCCATTGGAAACCAGATAAGCTTGGTTTCCCTTCTTCGGTTCATTAGAGCTGAATTGCTCATCATGTGAAAATGTCCCTAATAAACCAACTAATGTCTGAAGAAGTTGTTGTAGTATTTCCTATCTGACGGGTATGTGGCTTTCTCTGTGAGAGACCATCTAGCTGATATAACATTGGAAAATCCAGCTGATATGGGATTCCTCAGCCCTGTAGGAAGTGCTGCATACAGATGTGGTAGTTACCATGCACAGAAAATGCTCTTCTGTGCTGGAGAGAAGGCTTAACAATCCAGTTTATACTTAAACTTCTGTTTTGCATGGCTTTAAAAACCATTGAAATTACATTTTTATGTGTGGCTCCATTTCACTAAGAAATATTTTGTCTTTGAAGGGAGTGGGGGGAGGGATAAACTTAACGTTTGGGCACAGAAAAGGTACGGAGACTTGCAGGTGTCGAATTGTTGGCTTGGCATGTTTGCAGAAGTGTTTGTCACAAGCATCTTTACCAAAATTTCCAAATGACTCTTGTGGACAGGATGCTATAGAATGCACACCTTGCGGAATTAAACCTCTTAGCCTTGTGCTGGTATAGCCAATACATTTATTTTTGAAAGTGGAAGTAGTTTTCTACATGCACCTTTGTGCTAGCAGTATCTCTTGGAGTTCATGATCGAACAGTGAGTTGGAAAAGACTGCTCAGTAGTTTACCAAGAGGATCCTGGCCACAAGACTTGGTCCATCTGTAATGCAGACACGAAGAAACTGCAGAACTGGTTGCACATCTGTCTTGTTTTGAAATATTTACCTGCCTTGTCCTGTCCTTTGCTTTTTCAGAGGCTTGTTTGTGCAAATGTGGGCCCTTTTGATACTGATGGTTAGTCTGTAAAGGTGTTGTAAGGTACTCTTCATTTGCTGTACAAATATGACTTGTAGTTGAAGTTCAGCCTGTGTTAGATCTATTCCTGCATGCTTAATGTCATATTTTCTGTATGAATAAGGTACACTTGAAAAAAAGACACTGCTCTCGTACAAACATATTGTGTCTTGCACTGCTGTTCTTTTGTGGGAATACTTAATGAATCTGCATCAACTGAAAGCAAACCCCAGACTTCATGTAACTGTAACTGATGGTATGGATCAGTTACTTTTTTTTTTTTTTAAAAAAAAGCAGAGTTCAATTTTTTTTTTTTTTTCCCCTTTCTGCATTGCTACTCGAGTTCTTACAGGAGAAGTTTTGTAAGTGTATCACAAATAACTAATCTAGACAGAATAGGTGGTGCACACCAACATATGCCTCTTTATTTAAGGGCTTTGAGGTTTGTTGTGTGTGTTTTCCAGGTAGACGTGCAGAAGAAGATGGAGCTAAATCTTTCTCTGAACTGCTAGTGAGTTAGCATTACTTGATATTTTTCAAGTCCTTAAAGTAAGCAAGTATGGCTTGCAATACTAATGGGTCTTGGTAGAGTCTTCAAATATTGAAGATTTTCTTCTCTATCTTGCTGTTTGGTTTGAAGCCCTATTGTTTTGTAGGGTAGCAAATTACATGTGGTATCTCAGGGAGTAGGGGAGGGGAAATGCAAGGTAAGCACTGCCCAAGCTTAACGTCTTCATGGGGAGAACATTATCTTTTGTACTTATATAGAAACTTACTTATCTGTCCTCTGGTATTAGGAAACTGAAGTTCCTGCTCCCGTCTGGTAAGCAGTTGTCCCTATAACTCATGCAGAGAGGCTCTTGAATGGCAATGCTATGAAATATTTGCTGACAGTTTTGCAGAAGTTTTGTAGTTTGCTGGTAGTGACTTCTTATCTCTGAGCTCCATAGTAAGTCCTACAAAAGGCTGTAGCACTCAACTAGAGAAGCTGTTGCTTAGCAATGGTGTAGGGAATTAAAAAAAGAAGAGAATGTAAAAATGGTCTGACTGCTTAGTAAGCTAATGAATGAAAGCTAATGAATTCATGGTTTGCCACTATAAACTTATTTTAAATTTTCTTGATGCTGTATATGCTGTTCACACCTGTCAAAAATGGGTTTTCACTTCTTGGTAAATAAAATAGATGCTGCTGAAGACCGAACACCTGGTTGCTCATCAGAAGGCTTTTTTTTTTTTTTTTCAGGCAGTTTCTAAAGCTGAGTGAAGGAATACTGTGCTGCTGGTGGTATAAGTTTTGGATGAAAGCTCCTAGTTATCCCAGGAGGTACTGGATTCATTTGAACACAGCAGGAATAGTTGTATGAATGCTGTGATATTACCAAGACACAACTCTTGCAGTGAAGGTCATCTGCTTTGTCTCTGAAGGAATCTGGCGAAGTAGCATCACCAGTGGTCTTGTAGCTTTATAGAAAAGTGTCAACATATTTCTGTGAGGCAGTGAACTAAAGGAGTATAGTATGGTGTTTTTTTTTTTTTTTCCTCAATTTTTGAACTTCCATTGCGAATGACAAGCTCTCTAGTAGAGGGAGGTTATAAAGTAGGAATTCAGTTGGAGATGATGCAGTCTAGTTCTTGCCTCCAATTGACCTTTGTTGACCATTTAATGTACTTCAGTATAACTCTGACTGCCATTCTGGAAGAAATCTTGGTATCAGATTGAGGTACTGATGATCAGGCTTGGACAGGAACTTCCTAAATATGCTATCCAGTGGTGTTTTTATTCCAGTAGATTGTCAAAGTCTTGAATCCCTCTGAAGGCTCACATTAAAAACCCAGACAACAAGGCAGTGATTGAATGAGTTTCTTCAAATACACAAAGCGCATCTCCTGGGTCACAGCTAAAGCAGCAGCCATTCCTGTGGACCCTAAATCACGAAATCTCAAGCCAGCAGAAGCAAGCATAGCAACCATAGCAGCTGGATGCCGACTCTCCAAGTAAACACACAAATACCCTGGGGCCTCAGCCTACTTATGTCATGTTTTTGCTGTCGCTGTGCATGCCACTGAAGTGAGAAGACTTTGATTTATGAATTGACAATTGCGTGTCCCTGCAGACCAGGTTGCATCACAAATAAGAATCAAGAATGTATTCCTTTCCTCATTCTCCTTGTTTGTTATTACTACTTTCTTAAACTTTGTTCTTCAGTACTTTTGCATTCCATACCAAGTCTTCCTTCATTTTACAGAAACTTCAGAAAAAGGGCAAGCTTCTCCATTCTCTCTCCTTCCTCTGCTTCCGGACTCAAAAGGGGTTTGTGTCTCAGTTCTGTTTTGGGGGGATGTACACAGCTGTGTGGGATAGACTGAGGAAAAGGTTGGAATGTTAACACCATAATGACTATGTAAGACCTTTGTAGCTCAAGGACAACTGTATTTTGCATGAGCGTTGTGTGGGTTGTTAGGAATGACTGGGTATTTTATTAACAATTTTCATGGTGTGCTGCTCTTTCTTTAACGTGCAACATAGTATTCAATGGCTCCAATTCAATTATACAGCTGAAAAGTAGATGCTCATCCCTGCTGGTGGGCTGCTGATAGCTCTGTTGTCACTGAAATTGTGAATAAACCTCTTAATGACAGTGTGGCATTAAGAAGCAAGCTTTTCTTGATTTGGCACTGGCTGCATGGGGGATCATTCCTCCTAACATGCACACACTAAACCAAAAGTTCATCCTTTATATACCTTAAAGACATAAATATTCATATGTTTTCCAAGTAGTCTCTGCCTTTCCACCTATCTACTATCTTTACATAATGCTGACACTGAAAACCTACACTATGCATGTGAGGGGGGGGTTGGGTAGTGATTGTTGGTTGTTTGGGGATTTAGCCCCTGCTCCTTTTTCCCTTTTGTGGTCATGAGTCTTTTGAGGACAATTTATTCTCCTTGGATGTTTACCAACTTTGTTGTCTGGCCAAATTGTTCTTTCTTACTAGCCTTGTTTGAGCAATTCTGCCAGGATTTATCTATTCTCAAGGTTACGATATCTTCTCTGTACACTTTAATCACTCATTGGCCTTGTTAAACATGTTGAACATTGTTTGGTAAAAGAATTTCTAAAGGCTATTACTACATTTAACTTGGATTGAGTGAGTTATTTCTGGGCTTTTTTCAGTAGTTTGAGTGCTGTGTTGTAGCACTGTTGAACTCCATTTCAGTGTGGTTCATGGGAGGTAGGCTCCTCGGTTAACCTGTGGACATCAAGTGATGCTCATGTTTTCAGGTGAGGGTATTTCATATCTCCTGAAAAGCCTTGAATGGGAGATACCATGACCTCCTGATCTGGAAGATGGGTCAGAGGGCAACCTCAGCAAATTTGTCAATGTTGCAAAAGTGGGAAGTGTCATTAATGCACAACACAAGCCACAAAGATGATTAAGGGACTGGAGCATTTCTTCTGCAAGGAGAGGCTGAGAGATCTGGGTTTAGCCTGAAGAAAAGATGCCCCAGATGGGATCTGATCAGTGTTTATAAACATATGATGGGAGGGTGTAAAGAAGATGGTTCCAGACTCTTCTCAGCGGCACACAGCGACAGGACAAGAGGCAATGGGCACAAGCTGAGAGAGGAAATACTTTTTGAGCATAAGAAAACAAAAATTACACACTTACTGCGAGGGTGGCTGAGCACTGGAACGCATTGCCCAGAGAGGTCATATAGTCTTTGTCTTTGGAAATACTCAAAATCCAGCTGGGATAGGGTGACCCTTCTTGGGTGGGGACATTGGACTTAAATCTCTAGAGGTCCCACCCAACCTCATTCTGTTCTGTCATTCGTGGTGTCTGTATGCCTCAAACTTTGTACTTGGCTATAGTCCTTAGCTAATCCAATTACGCCACTCTGTAATTAGCAGAAACAGAGTGTATTGGCAGAGCGTGCTGCCAGGGAGAAGGTGTTGGTGTTCATTATCAAGTGCCTTTGACTTGCATGTTGTGCTGCTTTTGGCAAGGTAGAAAGTGATTTGTCTGCAACAGATGTTTCTTCCTTGTGCTCAGGTTCTGATCTCGTTTAAGTCCAAGAAGTGATAGAGCAAATCTGTACTACAAATCTGAAGTACTAGAGTGCATCTGTGAATGCTTTCCCCCTGGTGATGAAACATATGGAAATAATGCTTATCTTGATTTAGATAAGCAATTGCCTTTCCTGTACAATCATCCACGGTTAGTAGGAGTGGAATCAGGCACGTAATGTAACAGATCTTACAATCTGTCTTTTTTAACATGCTCCGTAAGCCTATGCAGAAAAAAATGGAATGGAAAGCTGTGTTATATGTGAGCTTAGTAATTGCCAATAGTTTGTCATTTTTTTTTAATCATACAAGACACATGTAAAAACAAAGCATTAAGGAAAAAAAACCCCAACGCTGAAGAGAAGAACGCTCACCATATGTAGCAGAGTAGTTGCTGCATGTTTCCCTCTGGTCAGATGGATTCTTAAAGCCTGCTCAACTCTTGTTTTTTCAGCAGCCCAAGAAAAGTGGAGCTGTGTCCCAGTCTAGCTTCTGCTGAGGATTCTCTTAGGAGTGGATGAGCTGGTGCCTGTCAGGGGGTGATGTTGGGGATGTTTTCCCTTGCTCAGGTTCTTTTCCTAGTGCTGTTTCCAGATCATGTTATTGACTGTTGTTGGAGAAACATTCCTTGTGGGGATAGATATTTCTACTCGTTGCTGTTGTAGCAGGGATGAGATAACAGGCAGACTTATTATTTATTTTTAACTTGGAATTAATTTACTTCCTTCAGCTGTGAATTCTAAAGCTGACTATAAATGATGAAAGAGTCCCATTTTCAGCTTTGTTTCTTGCAGTTCAGTCTGTTACTCTTGTTTTCATGTACTAGAAGGGGAAAAAACATTGTTGTCTGACTTGTTAAACAAAATTCCATTTTAATAGTACAAGCCTGTGAGCTTAGCTGCTGTAAATCCTTTTCACTTGTTCTTTTTTGGATTTCTTATATTAACTGATTTTGCTTATGGAGTGCCCAGAGCCTTTTTCTTTGCCGTAGATATTGCTTTATACTGTGGGGCTTTAATAACTGGTTTTACTACTTCATTATCAAATAGTTTTAAAATGAAGATGTGTTTTTTAACAGAAGCTCTTCCAGCTGTAGGTTGTTCTCCTCCTGTTGGTTGCAAGCACTTTAGTATTACTGTAGGGATTGCTGTAATTGGATTCTGAGACCTATTTCAAAAATTACAATACTTCAAAGTGTACTAGACTTGAAAATCCTGGATATTTTAGGAGTGACTAAGTTTGAGTTGATTTTTACAGTGATGTTAGGTTTGTGCCATCTTTTTCCATCGCACTAGCTGAGCATATTCATGCCCTTTATGGGGGCTCCCTCTAGTGAGCTGTTCCGAAAGTCCTTTTACCTTTTAGTTCTGAATAACTTCATGCGCTTTCTTTCCAATTGCAGTTTTTGTTCGCTAAATCTAATGTATTTCTCCTCATGTAAGCTATAAAGGTCCTTTTCCTCTGGTGCGAGATGGAAGGAGCTCTAATTAAAGCTGAGGGATAGGACTGCCTATTTGATGTTAAGACTGACCAACCTCATACTTTAAGATGTGGCTTTGTGGACTCAGAGATGTTAGGAACATGATTAAAGGCCCAAAGGGTTGTGGCCTAGGAGGAAAAGCTAAAGACAACAGTTTATGATGAAGATTTTCAACTCTAATGTATTTCTTAAATAAATAAAATCTGTCTTTTTTTGCTTTGTCTTAGATATCTTTCAGTATACTGCTACATTTCTCTAATCAGATGTTTGTTTTGGTTTTAGTGTATTCTTTTGTGTGGCTTTTTTTTATTTTCCCTGTCAAAACTGCCCCACATAAGATGTGAATTAGGGCTAGGTAGGCAGAGGGGAAAAGTTCGAGTATTATTTAGGAGGAAAAGTGGCAGAGGGGCTGAGTAGGCATTTGGGAAAAAGTTCAAAACTTAAGTCTTATTAACTGCTTTCATGTTGGGTGTTTTCTTAGGGTTCTGTTAGGTCCTCACCTGCTTGTGAATATGCAGATTTGATGTGTGTGGGGGGTTGCTTTACACATCAGTGTCTTGCTTTACAACTTTTAATTTAATTTCTTTTGAATGAATAGACTTGAATTGACTGTAGTTATGCCTACAGTCATTTTATGATAGTTTGTGTTGTGCTGTGAGTGGAATTTAGAAAAGCATTTCAAAAGTTTGAATGTTACATTTACCCTCCTCCTTGATAGTTTCCTTTGTATGCTAATTAATTATTTGAATTCATCTGAAGTGGAAAGCTGTAAATGGTTCTGAAATCTACCTGTATGGGAGATCATGGCTTTGCTGATGCTTTTAGCCCAAGGCCTTGAATTAACTAGGGCCCTTCATTTCACAGGCAGGGCTGACTTAACTGGTCCTGGGAAATCATCAGGGATGAAGATTTTGGAATTGCACTGTTTCTGAAGTCAGCCAGACTTTATATGAATGTACCTTGTAAAAATCAGACTAAACAAAGCAAAACCAGGGTTTGTTTGGTTTTGACACACACACACATAATTGTAAAAAAGCATGTGAATTGTTAACGTGCTTAAACTGCAGTTTGAGTCCATGATCCTCATGACAAAATATATGTAACTGTTTGCAGAATTCTTGAGATGAAGGAAGAATAATGAATAACAAAATTCACTGTGTGAGAGTTAGGAGGGAATCAAGATGGCCAAACTAATGCTGATTATCACTACTTTGTCAGAGCTTACTATGAGTGTGTTTAGGCTTGTTTTTTTTTCTTAGGAGCATTTCCCAGTAAAAGCCTCTATTTTTACTTTTTCAGCTGAGATGGACATGGGGTAGAATGTGCAGGCAAGAGTCTTACTTCACAGGGAAAGAAGCCTCAAAAACAGTCTCCCCAGAGGGCACACAGAGATGAAAACTCCAAATAGCAGAATCTATTGCTCATACTTCATACTACCACAATCCTATTTCAAGAGCTGTTTTAGCATTTTACTAACCATGGCCTGATTCAGACCGGTGATCTGAAGGCATCCAGGCTTCTGGCACTGGTGCTCACACAGCAGTTGTGTTTGTGAGCCAGGAGGGCTGTGGTGATGAAGGAGATGCAAGCAGTTCTTCCAGCAGGGAGGGAGCCTTCCTTCCTAGGCTGTCTTCACTGCCCATCTGGATGATTTTAAAAAACCTAGTGCCTCTTAAATTTTACTGTAGCTATGCTGAGATTCTTGTTGGAGGTACTTCAGAAAATTCAGTCTCTCTTCAGGACAAAGGAGAAGCAGAACAATATTTATCATATTCACGGCCACAGGCCAAACTAAATATTTTATTTTCTTGGAGTTTGTGATGCCTCCATCTAAAACTGAGGTGGACTTTGTCATAGGTTTGATGTAGTGTGGGTTTAGTTGGTGGGATTTTTTTGTTTGGGTGTTTTTTAGGACTGGAATATATCTGAATTTTCATGGCTTTCCAACTGTTCTGCCTTTGAGGTACATTCTGAACAACCAATGTGGAGACAGACAGGCTTGGCCAGCAGGCTTTCCTATCTCTAAAAACTGAGATCTTTGAGTCCAGGGACTCAACTCCTGTTTTGTTTCTTGTACTGAAGACTAGCTTATACAGCAGCCACTTCAGAGAATTTATTTCTTGAGGATGTATGTAAAGCTGTTTCATTAATGAGAGCAAGAAATATTCTCATTGCACCACAAGCACAAGGTAAATCTGTCACTGCTATGATTTTTATTAATGTGCTAATATGTACTCATGGTGTGCATCCTTTGCAAAATAAGCAATGCCCTGGAATTGCTGGTTTGTCCTTGCTGAGTTATGGTACCATAAATTAAGGGTAATGCCTGGAGTATTTGAGTTTGGGCATATTTGAGGATCTACCATAGTTATTCACAGAAACGAGATTCATCATTACTGTAGGAAGAGGCTTTGAAGTAAAGGACTGCATGTTGGTTTTTGAGAAGCAGAGAAAAATGTGTGTGGTGAAGGAAGAGGTGGGAGACAAAGGCAGAAGTGAGTTATTTGTAATATCCAGGAATGACTTCACTGTCCCTTGCCAAGGTGATTAAATTGATTACAGCAGAAGAAAATATCCCAAATCAGGTATCAGTTTTGACTTTGTTAGAAAATGCTGTCTGCCAGCCCCAGATATCTGACAGATGGCAAAAGAAAAAGTCTCTCCTACAACTATTTGTATGATATTGGGATTACTTTTGCAATCAGCAGCATATTAGTAGACTTGTTGAGTGTCTTTGTGAACAAGCCTTGGCTCTCCATGATATCCATCAATGTTGAGCATCCTTCTGTAACAACCAGAATGAAATAAAGTAAGTACAAGTTCAAATCCTCTGTTAAGTCAGACTTTTATTAAAGAAATGAGGGTAATCTATCAAAGATGTACGAGGCAGTGTATACTTTTACTGCTGCACCGTATTAAAGATGGTGGTCATCAGGGCTCTTACAAGAATTGAGGGGCAGGTAAGGGCCTTGCTGAAGAGGATTGTGGTAGATCCTATAGGAGTGGTTACTTGGGTTTGTGTGTGGTTGTTTTATTTTTTTTTTTTTCCACTTTTACAGGGCAGTGAATTTATTAATACTTTTCTGTGGGGAAGGAGTCTCAGGAGAACCACACTCAAATATATTCAGTACTTGTAAAAGAGTGCGAACTAGAGGCAAACTTGTGAAGGCTGTGGAGGATGGAAAATCAGGAGGCAGTGCTGGTGTGTGCAACATAGTGTAGTGTGGCACCCTACAGAAGGAGTTAGATAACCTTGTTGGTGAATTCACTAAGGGACATCTCTGCTTTTCTTCTGACTCAGAAATTAGTGATAATGTGAATTAGATTTTATAATAGTATGTATCTGTTGTCTTCCTGGCTCCTCCTGGTGGATTTTTTGGTTGTGTTTTTTTTTTTTATCATATTGGCACACATACTGTAGTATCCAAACTCTATTTTCTATTTAAATGGTTTTAGTTTGGAGAATTCAAGGCGTTTTGATTTTGATGTTAACTCGTGTTGCAGTAACTTGGGCAGAAGGTGGAGGGGGAGGGTGACGGTGTGCGTTTTAAACTTTAGAGCTCCAGTGGGATGTTCACTGGGGAGGGATGGAGAAAACAACTGTCCTACTTGCTGGCAGAATGCAGTGAACATGAAAGCAGGTAATAAATCAGACTCTCTAAATTGGTCACAGAGGCTGATTTTTATTTTAATACAATGCAACAGCTAACTGCAGTGATTATCTTCTGTGGAAATATGGATGAATAGTGTAACTTTTAGGCTAGAGTGGTACAAGGTGGATCTTATGATATTAAAAATGTGATACCTTTCTACAGAAACAGACTTTGCTTTGGTTAAGACACAGAGAAGGGTGATCTGATGGCAATAGAATAGTTGCTTTAGGACTACACAGAAAATAGAAAACACAAATACAGGAATTAAACTCCTGAATACACTTGAATATAAGACTATCTTTACGATAATGTGTGTCATAGTAGCAATGTATCTTTTGCTGGGGGTGGCACAGATTTTGCATGAGGCATGTGATAGCTGATCTAAAGTAAAACTAAGTGAGACTCAGTGTTCTGGACTGGTTGAAATAAACGATTTCTGATACCAGTCATTTGTGCTAAGCTTAGAAAAGCAAAATCTAAAATAAATGCAACTTTCTTATTTCTACTGGTTGTTGTAATGCTGAAAAACTTGAGGAAGTATGTGCGAATTGGTGAAAATTGATGAAAATAAAGGTTGATATAAAAACCTAAGGGCCAGATTTGTTTGGATTGCTTCTACTTTCACTGAACCTTCCTACAAGGTTCTTCTATTTACAAATATATTTCTGTTGTTCTGAAGATGGGAAACTGTTTCCTGTTGAAATTGTCATTTTAGCAGTTCTGTTTCTGGCCAATATGTGATCTCAGGCCTCTTGAGACACCTGGCTTGTGTCAGAAAGAATTAATTAAAAAAATAATAAAAATCAATTAAGTAATCTTTCCTTCTCTTCTAAGTTCTCTGCTAATGATGTGGGTGTCTAAGAATGTAAGGCTACCGTAAGCTTTTGGCCAATATGTGTTTGTAGAACAGTTTGAGGTAACTGAACTCTTCTATAGATTATGATGCAAATTAAGTGAATTGGTGATGCAAAAATTAAGTTTACCAGAGTAAGGGATCTATTATAACGTTGTCTAGTAACAAATCTTTTGAAAGCTAGTGTATGTTGTGTCTTCATCTCTCCTCCTAGTTGAGCAATTTAAGGTGACAAAGGTCCAAGCTTTTAATTTGCTGATGTTTTCCTTCTCCCTACTGCCAGGCCTAGTTCTGAATTTTGGGGCTGTTGGCAAACGGTGTGCTTGTGTGTCGTTGTATGCATTTGGAGTAATTCTGGGTTGGATAAATTATCACTTCAGTAGGAGGATTATCCTAACGCTTCATTTTTTGATAACTTGCACCCATGTGGTGACTGAAGAAAATTGTTTGATGGATCTAGCTCCAAAAATGTGTATGTTCATACAGGTTTTCTGTCAAATGATATGTGGGCAAGGAATCTGTGCTTCATAGTAGCTTGCATTTGAAAACAATTAAAAGCAAGTAGTATGATTTTAGGGAAACACAGGTATCTTTGTGGGTTACTGGTGCCCCCTCGAGGCAAAATCGAAGGATGTTGCATTCTAACAGCAGCAGTGTGACTGGAACTGCTGATATCTGCTCTGGACATGTAAATAGTGGTCTCAGACCCACGTTTGTAATCTGGTTTTACTACTTTCTTGATTTGTAGGTGAAAACACTAAAGAAGATCTGCAAGGGAAGAAAAGTCTGAGCGAGAAAGTTTCTCTCTATAGAGGTGACATTACACTGCTAGAGGTTGATGCCATCGTTAATGCTGGTAGGTGGTTCAATGTTTTATATTGTTGTCTTGAAAAGCCTTTATAGCACCATGTGACAAGTTTGAACTTAGTTGTATAAAATTGGTACATCCTGTGGAAATCTGTTGGAAACCACCTTTTTTCTTTTCCCCCCAAATTTCTCTATATTGCATCTGTTCATCCTGCATCCCTTTACTGTGATAAGGATTATTGTGAAACTTCAGTAGCATGGTCACCGAGAGAAAAATAATGATCTTGTATCCATCTCTTAACTTGTGTAGTTGAGACTTCATATCTGATGTTGTAGAAGGCTGAATTTTGATATTAAGCTATTGCAATGCATTCCAGTCTGTTTTTACCTAGTGCACAAATAGCTTGATTTGTAATATGAAAACCTTAACAGTTAGGTGATAAGAAGAATGTGGATGGAATATTTGCTTTCTTGTAGGGAGATTGTATCCTCCAAGTGTTAGATAGTGACCTAGAGAGTTTGCAATAGAATCATAGAATAGGTTGGGATAGAAGGGACCATTCAAGGTCATCTAGTCCAACCCCCCTGCAACAAGCAGGGACACCTTTCATTAGATCAGGTCACTCAGAGCCCCATTCAACCTGGCCTTGAATGTTTTCAGGTTTAGTTTTAGTACCTTTTCTTGCTTGGTGAACATGTCTCCATGTATGCAACTGAGGTGAAGAACTGCATGTAGCATCATGTTGTGACGAAGGGGAGGGAGGAAATGCCTACACAATTAACTTTGTGTGTTGGGTTATGATGAGGTAGTTTCTCTGATTGGAAAAGTCTATGAGCAGGTTTTCCCTACACACATGCTCTAGCCAAGTCTTTCCACTCCCCACCCTGTAAAGAATATCGTTTGTGTGTCTTGAGGCTGGAAGGTTTTCCCCCTTCCCAGTACTTGACTGGCATTGTCCTTATTTGTTAAGAGTATTGATTAATTTTCAAGAGCTAATTTTGGTCTTAATCCTTTATTGGAAGGAAACATACTGCAGTATTTTCTCTATGATGGAATAAAAACCAGCTTCCTAAGGTGGTATTGGCCAAAATTGATGTGTTTACCATACTAAAGCTGTGCAGAGGTACTGGCTTGAGTGTAATGTAAAGAGGACAGACATGTTTGCTCATACAGTGTAGACATTAGTAAACAGATTCTCTTGGATTGTTTGATGTTGTTTCTGTCTGCTTACCTCCCCACTTTCCAGTGGAGATATGCTACTGGGTTTTGTGTAGTACAGGTAGAATCCTTAGTTATCTCAAAACGCATTTTTGCACTCCAAGTAATGAGGATGGCATTTCCATGCGAATGTTTTTAATTCTCTAATTTACTGCTATACAAAAGCCATTCCAAATTACAGACAAACAATGTGGTTGCATCCATGTAGTAACATGATTCTCTCCTCACTGTGTTGGCAAAGCCTCTGAAACTTTAATCTTTTAACTTTTCCCTCCCAATTATTTCAGGATGACATTTCCAGTAGTGCTCTTGTTAGCTTCCTTACTTTATTACTCTACAGTAAGTCAATATTAGCATACTTCTCTCAATTTATATTTAGGTTATTTTTGTTCATAGATCTCCCTTGAATTGCAGGCTGATACTGGTTGCAGATTAGCTTCAGAATGGGAATACTTTGCTTTTCTCAATTTAAAAGGTTTTTCTCCCTTTCTGTTGAAATGTGCAAAAACCTGTATTCCAGTCTGCTGATGACATCTGCCTGTAAACTTGCCTGTCATCCTGGAAGGGAGTGCATCTATCAGAGTAGAAATGAAAAACAGAACCCAATTAAAATCAACAGATATTAACATGCAGTTTTGAGGGAAGGATTAAAGACACCTCAAAACTCTACAGTAAAACTAAGGTTGGAAGATCTAAAGAGGGACATAAGACTCTTCAAGTTTCTAGAAGGCAATTGGCAAAAAGAAGTTGTTTCTACTGATATCTTCTGTAAGGAAGTTAGAAGAGTTGGATTTGGGTTTAATGAGAGATTCAGATTAGATGTTGGAAGGAGTGGCAGTGCTCCACAGTGTCAGGCTGATATGTAGCAGCAGTCTGAGGTCAGGACGTTGGTACAGATTTTGAGTTTCTTCTGTAGCCCTCCTGTAATCTTTTATAGCTCCTAAAATGCATTAAAAGAGTAAGTATTATGAATTGTTAATATGCTTAGATTAAAACACTAACCTATGGTTACCCTGAAAAGTCAATATTCTCTATATGTCAGTGCAGTAATTAAATTTGAAGTGTAAGCCTTTGATTACACTTGGTTTCAGTGTTACTTTTTCCATTTGAAGTTAAACCTTTTAAACTTATGTGGAGGATGTTTTGGTTCAGTATCTGTATTATTTATGCAAAAATCCAGTTGCTGCGGAGATTTTTTCTAAAATTATCTAGGCCTCAAAGAGATAAAGCAAAAAGTAGTCATGTCTTGTATCTCCTTTGGAAAGCTCCATCTTGCAGACATTCTTATGGTGTAACTAATGCTGGCCCCACAGTTTCAGTTTCTGTCTGTAAGTTTGAATAGAATGCAGCCTGTCAAACATGGAACAGGAGACAGACATTTTAGAGGTAAATCTGTGCAAGTGCTTTTCATACTTGAAGCCTTTTGGCTACCCTGAACATAAATGACTGACACCCTCCCTAACTGAGGGCATATAGCTCGCAGGGGGAAGGATTTTCTCTCTGAATTTAGGAATTCCATTAACTACCTCCTGTAATAAATAGTTTAATGTACAACAAGTCATATACAAATTAAAGCATCAGGGAGATACTTAAATTTGAATTTTAATTTATGTTGACTTACACAAACAACAAAATATGCCTTCAGTAAAGGGAATACTATAGCAAATTTGGGGGCTGTGGACGAGTGCCAGGTGGTTCAAAATGTCTACAGATTTTGATACAAACATATTAGCAAAACCTGCTATATTTTCTAATACCTGCCTGTGAGGGGTAAATGAGACACAAGTGGATTTACTTGATTAAACCAGGGGTGTGAGTAATATGCAGTAATTTGCTTATAGTGCTGACTTTATACTGTGATGCCTTCCTTTGGGTATCCAGATAACAGCGTGATTCTTTGGAGTATGGCCATGTTAATTTCAGAACTATATTTTACAAACACTTTTGTTAAACTTAGTAGTAGCTTGCTTTATGTGGTGAATTCCGTTTCCTCTTTGACTTATGTATGAGAAAAGAAGTTCAGTTATCAACTTAACTTTGTTAGCATTAACACCTTTGTTAGCCTGATCTTAAGTAGCTAAGTACCAGGATGTCATTGGTAAGCACTGCCCCTTTCTCCTAGACTTTAACAGGCAAACTGAATGTTATGTAAAAAATGTGTTGCAAATGTTTCATGCTAAAAGAGGACGACTATGGAAAGAGTGGAAGCAAAAGTTTGTGTCTTTGCTCATTGTCAAAACAACCATATTGAGACAGCCACTTTGAACTAGTTCGTGATCAGAGTGAGGATCTATTTTTCTGGTTTTTGAAGACAGTGAGAGTCAACCTGAGATGCAGCGTGACGGAGAAGGTAGCTGAAAAAGGGAGCTGATATGCCATTTTGCTAAAATCAGTGTCAATTATCTACCCCTGTAAATGTGTTATCCTTCCAGAACGGTTCCTTAAAACTTCCTTGCTACAGATCGCATTGCAGACAGGTTCTAATTTAAATTGATGTTTTGCCTAAGGTGTCCTGTTATGTTAATTTCCTTCCTTTTTTTTTAAGGATTTGGTAAAGATTTATATAAAAACCTTATTTTTACTCCTATATCCTTTTCTGCTCTTCTGGTATTATGCTCTAAGAATGTGAACAGGCTTCCCTGAGGCATGTACTTACTGCATAAATCCATGATAACTGGCCTTTTTAACAAATTAAATATTCCTGGATGTCACTTCATCCTGATGCCGAAAGTGCTTCAAGCACCTGGAAGCCAGATAACTACAGTTAGCTGATTTCCAAATAACCTGTGGGAACTGAGCTCAGGCAGGGTGTGTGTCTGTCTCTGTGTTTAGGGGAGGCAGAAAGAGGTTGTTTAGTCGTTCTGTCCCTTCCCTCTTAGCTCTTTTAACACGTTTATTCATACTGCAGGCATTTCCTGATAGCATTTCTGTGGACCAAATAGGCTATGTGAGAAAAATAGTTTCAGATACTACTGGAATACTAAAGCCACCAAATGTCTACTCACTAGCTCCCTCTACTTCCCTCTAATGTTTTCCAGCTGCTTTCTCCAAGGTATGATACAGCTTTAGGGAGCAAGTCTTTTTGCTGGCAGTTAATTTAGCAGCAGTCAGAAAGAAGTGTTTAAAAAAAAAAAAAAAAAAAAAAAAAAAAAAATTAAAAAAATTGTCTCCCTCTGAGTGTGCTTGCCTGCTGCTTCTGCTTATTTAAAGTCTGGACAGTATGACATGATGGTCTCATGGCTTAGGTAGGTCTGATGTAGTAACACTGGTCCTGACTAAAGTCTTTAGGGACTGTTGAAAAAACAAAAAGGATTAGTCCACCAGTGTGCTCATTTTTGGGTTTTAAGTATGTTGTTTTTATAGAGCAGCTGATCCCAAATACAGAAATAAGGAGTAAAAGCCTCAGTAAGGTTTGAAAAATAAATTGTGTGATATTTATAGTATCAGTGAAGCAGTAAATACTACATTTCCTCTGTATTTTTAATAAATATAGGGAAAAACGTATTGCTGTTTATTGTATGCAGTAACTTTGAAATCTGAAGTAGTTAAGAGCTGTATTTTTAGAGTGGGTCTGGTATGTATGTCTGGGTACCTTATATACCCTAAGAAGCAGTTAATCACTACTGACTTCAGGTAATACATTCACTTCTAACCTGTTAAAAAATCTTATTGGCCCAGCTCCAAGATAAGAAGGCACATACTAATGTGCTTGTGAGTTTTTACTAGGAGCAAGATGGAGGGGAAATGATTATGGGGGCAAAAAAGGATTATCCTTATTTCTATTTGACTGGGGGAAGGGGCTGACTTGCAGAACACTAGAAGAAATGTTA